AGGAAAGCTATGAAGGCTGCACCCCTCAAGGGGCCTCTCTCTCCCCTACACAGACAAGAACATATATGCGCTGGCACAAACATACGTGTGATATGAACATACAAGTCCAGAGGTACACACGAGAGGAGGCAGGCTGCAGACCAGAACCTATGGGATGGGCGTCCAGCGCTGAGACACAGAACAACACACACATGGGGCTTCAGAGGCCTACAGTGACTCTAGTCAAGGGATGGGGATGGAGGGAGAATGTTCTGCTCTCCCTTCATAAACTGAGGCTCCAGGCTGTGGGGCCAACACTCCTTCACTAACCCTGCCCAGGGAAAACAGGTCCAGAGTGACTCAGGGACCCGAATCCAAGTGGAAAGTTCTGCCTTGGTGTGGTGTCAGGCAAGCCATTGTGCCTTGCTGAGCCTGATACTCCTGCTGAAGATGAATTTCAGAGGCCCTGGGTTCCATCCCCAAGCAACCCAGTAATAATTTTTGAAAGTCAGTGAAGGGATAGAGTTATAGATCAATGTAAGGCCTCCTGGGTTCAGGTCCCAGGAGTGCGATGTAAGTGAGATTCTTTGCTTAGAATAAATTCTCAATGAATAGTCCAAAAAAAAAAAAAAAAAAAAAAAAAAAACGATTCAGGAAAGAGCCAGGCACAGGGTGAGGCGGTTGGCGTGGTCTTTTGTGGACGAGCTTTCTGGGGCGTGGCCAGGGCGGGCTCAGAGCCCGGTGGGCGGGACGTCGGTGGGCGGGGCGGGAGGTGTAACACTCACTGTACAGCGCGGGCAGAGCCATTCACCGTTCGGGATCTCGGGCAGCGGTGGGTTGAGGCAGTGCAGGTGGTAGGAAGAGGGACAGGCATCACAACACAGGAGCTCGCCACCGTCCTTGCACACGCGGCAGAACTCCATGTGGTCATCCTCCTCCTCCTCGCAGCCGCCCTCCTCCTCTTCCTCATCGTCCTCCTTCGGCTCCCATTGGATCCCCTCCTTCTCCTGTAGGGGGAGTCCGGGTAGATGCACCTTGGGCTGAGTCCCTGGGCCATGGCCCACCCACCCCAGTCCGGACCTCAGCCCCAGCTTACACAGTGTGGGCAGCTCCACTTGCCCTCGGGAGCCTTCTCCAGCTCCGGATCCAGGCAGACCAGGTGGTAAGCTCTGGGGCAGGTGTCACACAGAATGATCTCCCCGCCCTGCTGGCACACCTCACAGTAGTCCTGGTGGTCTGTCTCATAGCCGTCACCATCATCAACTGCAATGAGGAGAGGGGCGATGACACAGCCTGCCATCCATGACCGCTTCCACTATCCCTGGCCAGAGCATGTCATAGTTGTTTAAATCATTTCAAGTGGATGGGTAGACAGGCCAGAAAGTAAACAAATATTGGGGGTGGACAGAGATGGGAGGAAGGAAGAAGGAAGAAGGAAGGAAGGAAGGAAGGAAGGAAGGAAGGAAGGAAGGAAGGAAGGAAGGAAGGAAGGAAGGAAGGGAGGGAGGAAGGAGGGAGGGAGGGAAGGAAAGAAGGAGAGAGGGAAGGAAGGAGTACAGAAAGTACATGCACATGGAGAAATAGCAGGGAAGACACGCCTTTAATCCTAGAACAGGCAGGGGCAGGGGCATCTCAATGAATTCAAGGCCAGTCCTGTCTACATAGCAAGTTCTGGACCAGCTAGAGCTATGTCGGGAAACCCTGTCTCAAAAACTAAAGGGGGGGTGGGGGGAGAGGAGGGAGGGGTGGGCACACGGTGGGTGAGGAGCTGAGCGGGTGACTGATGGGGGTGGGGGTGAACTTGGGTCCTCCTCCACTCCCCACTCCTCGGCGCTTAGTATCAAGGAGCCTGGCCTGGCTTTCTGTGTCTTCCTCCCTAGAACAGACGGTGGACAAGGATGGTTGAGAGAGCACAAGGCTGGGAGAGGCTGGGACATGAGGGTGCCCTTCCCCCAGTCTCTGCACCCCCATCATGGAAAAGGCCCCTCCCATCTGAGAGGCCTACTCCTCTTCTTCTTGCGCCTCCTCTTGTTCTTCTTGCCCAGGGCTGCAGAGCACTCGGAGCGCACGGAAGAGCTGTGGATGCTGGCGTTGTCCAAATCGGAGTCCTCGTGTTCATCCTCCTCGCTCTGCAGGGAAGGAGGTCGAGCTGTGAGTCAGGGCTGCCCTGGCGGGTAGGGCAGGGCTGGGAAGCCCTGAAGACTCCCCTGTGACTTTGCTCTGTCTCACAGCCCAGCTAGAAACTTGTGTGATTAAATGCACAGCCAGCATGCACCGCCACCCTCCCAACCTCTGCTCTGTCTCTTCCTCAGGCTCAGACCTCCACCCGCCTCACCCCTGCACATCCTCAAGGGCCTGCACCCGGGGATCCTCACAGCTCTCTCCCAGTGGGCACACCTGACGGGACTGACGGCTCGTTAGGGGCTCGGCTGGCCTGCTCCATCTAGGGCAGGGCCACGCTCCTGCCAGAGCAGCCAGCCTCATGACCTGGCACTGGCCCCCACCAAGTGACAGGGAAAAGTGTCAAGCCTCCTCTCTCCCCTCTGCAGAGCTGGGAGGAAAGGTGGCAGCAGCTTCGCAGCAGGGGTGAGGTGAGAAGAATTTGATGTGGAGCTAGGGGAGGAGTCCTGGCTCCAGCCAGCCTGGTCAAACAGGCAACTCCCCAGGACTCCACTCTCCGGGCACACCCGGTGCCAGGCCCCATGAAGGGCCAGCTGACCCTGCCCACATGTGGGTAGCTGCAGCCAAGCTCCCAGTCAGCAGTTGGCTAGAAGGAGCTACCTGGCCAGAGTCTAGGCCCTTGGAAGAGTCCAGTCTACACCTATCAGTGGGGAAGCTGAGGCCCATCAGGCCTGTGCATGTCAGAGACTGGGAGAGAGCTTGCAGGGCTTGCCTCAGTTAGCTTGGGGAAGAGGAATATGGCCCAGTCTCTGCTCAAAACAGCCCTCCCCTTGCCTCCTTGCGCACACAAGCACATTCACCCAGGAACCCTTTCTTCCTGTCCCTGTCTCACACACACAGGCACACATTTACTGAGGAACCTTCTCCCCCCCCCACATATTCACACACACATGAATAGTCACTGAGGAGCCTTCTCCCCCCCACATATTCACACATGCACACACACATGAATAGTCACTGAGGAGCCTTCTCCCCCCCACATATTCACACATGCACACACACGAATAGTCACTGAGGAGCCTTCTCCCCCCCACATATTCACACATGCACACACACGAATAGTCACTGAGGAGCCTTCTCCCCCCCCACATATTCACACACGCACACACA